ATCAGGTTCAGCACAGATCACTCCCACATAACTGACAGCAGCCAGGTCCTGCTCTGAAAGCTGCACTGCACCAGCCATGGCCTCCTGGAACAGCTCCAGACTTAATATAGCAAAGCTGGGACCTCAAGCCAGCACAACACTCACTGCCTGCAAAGTTTAAGGATTCTTTTACAGTACCTGAGGATCAGACTTCTGATATTTTTTTGAATTACTCTATGAGGTAGCTTAAGGTTATCAAGTCTACTAGTAGGTAGACCTACTACCTACTTTCCTTTCCTTTTTGGTAAAGGAAATCAAATAACTACTTAAAAACTCAGGAAATTTTATAACAGGCACCTATAAAAGTCACTCAGTCTTCTAGAGCAAACTATCACTTTTGGTTTGTTCCAGGCAGAGCAGACTACAGCCAGAACAGCACCCAGCACCACCCTGCTGAAGTCCTGCTCTGCTTGGATTTCCTCTTTGATTCTTCAGTCATCACCCCTGTCAGGCAAAAAGGCCCAGGTGCTAATATTAAAGAATTAGAAAACACTATTCTAGTTTAACAGGCCATTTATGCCACCCTTATGAGTGCTCTTTCATCAGGTCCTACTGTTTTGAACAGAAATACCAAGATGTACTTAAAACAACATCACCTTTGCTTTATTTCCCTTTCAGTAAAGTGTTGCTCTGTATGTCTGCCTTACAATTTGCAACGTGAAAAATAAAGCTCTGAAACCAAGAATTTACTGTTTCATTGAGTGCATAAAGATTCTGTTTAAAATTCAGGTGTTCAAACTCTATCAGATGTGTTGAACTCTACTGATGCTGTTGTGCCAGCCAAAGGGAGCAGCAGAGCAGTGGTCCTGCCATCACAGCACAAACAAATCCTTTTGTTGTTTCTCAGACTGCAAATGCAAAGATTTCCAACAGAAACCCTGATGGGCTTGGCACACACTAAGTCTTGTCCACCAGGTTTTCTTCTTTAATTTTAATTATGTTTCCCTGTCTTCAACTGAAGGAGTCCACACTTAACACAACCTAGCAAAAAAAGGGCAAATTCACCCCAGTCAGGAACTGGGGCCACTCCTCACCTCTTGATGTATATAAGCCTAAGGTTTTTAAAAATATTTATATTTACAAAATTATGGCATCCATTTGCAAAGGTTCCAGCATTGATTTTTTTTTCCCTAACAGACTTTGTACAATTACACTTTCTAGCAGGTTTCAGTAGTGCCTTTCAGGCAAACCAGTCCCTGCAACACGTGATGCTGTCAAAAAGGTCGTGAGATCTCCATCATAAAGACAAGGATGTAAGACTTCAAGCACGTGAACACTTCCAGCCAACCTTCAAATTAGCTACATACACCATCCACTAAACCAAAAAAAGCTGGACTCACAACTCTACATTATTATATATGGTGACTGAAGCATCCCAGAAAAGGTGAGTTCAGTTCACAGGATGAGAGCATGCTACCATCAGCATCATGGAACTATCACAGAGCTATTTAGAAAAATGGTTTGGCTTATTCTTTAAAGACAGAGACTAAGAAAAGTGAAAATTTGGTCGAAGGGAAAAATTTCAGGAAAGGTCTGAAATGCAGTTTTTGTCTGTCAACTTCTGCACTTCCCTTTATGACATCAATCTAACAAGCTTTGTTAGCTAAAAAAAAAAAAGGCAAAAAAACCAACACACCCCTCCCCACGTTTGATTTATGGCATCTGGAAGCATCAGCTTCCAAAGCTTGATAGCAGTGTCCAGATTTCCTAAATCTGTCACTCCTGGCTGTGAGAGCAGGGGCTTGCCAAAAATAGCACACACTGGAAACATGGCGGCTTGCTGCAAATGCTGCTTTCCCCCGGTGGTGGAACAAAAAAATCCTTTTTTTGGTAAAGACCACTTATTCTATTCATGCAAGCCTTAACACAGAAGGTCACCAGGTAAGCCTGCTGAGAACGAGGAACGCGGTAGAACATCCAGAGCAACATTGGGAGCTACTGGAAGATGTATGGAAACCTTTTCTCTGGGGTTTCTCCCGCACGTTCATCTGGGGCCTTAAAGGATGCTGGAAAGTCTCATTACAAGCACTACTTCGCATTTAAATCTTAGCTTAATCTCGGATTCAGCCAAGGTCATGCGGTAAACCAGGTTAAGATCCACGCTCTCCTGCTGGAATTTTAACTTCCCTCACCTATAAAGTTACAGCAAGGGAGGCACCCCGAGCTGATACCCAGGTCCGGACCATGCGAGCACCCAGCGCTGCCCCTCCATCCGCATCTACAGCTCCCCCTGAACCGGGAACACCTCGGCCTTCGGGTGGGCTCCTCCCCGGCCCCACCTGCCCAAAACAAAACCCAAAAGCGGAGAGCGAAAAAGCCTCCGAGCCTGGAAAGCGGAGAACAAAGCTCGACCCGCACACCTCGCCTCGCACAATGCGGGCCCGCGAGCAGCCGATCCCCCGCCGCCCCCCCTGCCCCGCACGGCTCCCGCCGGCAGCTCCGAGGCCGCCGCGGCACCGGGAGCTCGGGCGAAGGCTGCGGAGCCCGCGGGGGCCGCGCGGCCGCGGGTCGGGCAGGAGGGCGCCGGCGCCCGCCACAAAGCGCCGCGGGGAGCGGGCGGGATGAGGGGGAGGGGGGCGCCAGCAGCGCCGTCCCGCACGGCCCGCGGCCTACTGAGAGCCGGGGGCGCCTCAGAGCCGGGGCGGTGCGTGCGGCCCGCGGTCCCCCCCGGGAAGGCGCGGCCGCGCCGGTGTCTCCCCGCGCCTCCCACCCCCTCACCTGCGGGCAGAGCGGGACGGGAGCGGAGGCGCCGCTTCACCACAGGGCCCGGCGGACGAGAAGCGCCTCACGCAGCGGCGTGCTCTGCCGCCGGCTACATATATCCGGCGCGCAGCCTACCCCAGCGGGCGCGGCCCAGCCAGTCAGAGAGCGGCGCTCGCCCTCATTCGGATGCCGGTTGGCTCACAGCCGTGAGGAGGCGGGCGGAGAGCTGAGGGGCAGCTCAGCCAGCCAACCATGCGGCAGCGCTCCGCAGGGCGGGGAGAGTGATTGACAAACGGGCGAACCAATGGGCGGAGGGCGATTGCTGATAGATTTGCGCTTTGGCCAATGGGACGACGCTCCCCGCGCCAGCAGGCGCGCAAGGCGGCGCGCGCCGGACGCCGCAGTGTGGTTGAGCCGCACTGCAGCGCCCTTGAGAAGGTGCTGGTAAACCCCGTTATAGATGGGGCGGGCTCCGCGGGGCGCGACGGCCAATGGGAGGGCGCGCTGGGCGCTGACGGACAGTTCCCCGCCGCGGCTCTTAAAGGGGCAGGCGGCCACCACGCTGGGCGCGTCCCGCGCTCCGCAGCGCCCCCTGCTGCAGAGAGGGAGGGGGCGCTAACATGGCGGCGGGCGCCATGAGGGGGCTGAGAGGGCGCTCAGGGCCCGGCCCCTGCGGTCGAGCGCTACGGACTCCAAGGCAGTGGCCGCCCACTTTGGCTGTGTCTCCACAAGCTGCTTAGGGCTCACCTGTCCCACGCACCTGAGAGAAACCCCCAGTGCGGGTGGGCAAAAGGAGCTGCTCACCCCAAGGCGCCTCCATCACACCCAGCCCGGCCGCTCACGCCAAGCTGAAGGTGGTGGTCACTGGTGGTCACTGATAGTCACTGACCCCTGCCCATCCCGGGAGGCTCATCCAGCTGCTGCTTTTCCCTCACAGCTTCTGAACATAGCCAAGTCAGCATCATCTGCCCCAGAGGAAAGGCAATGTAAGCAGGAGGGTTTTCTAACACATCTACAAAGGAGAAAGGCCTGGAAGTTCTCAGATCCTTTTGCTCGCCAGCAGGTGCTGGTCCAGGGACCCCAGCGAGCAGGAGGGAATGGGAGCAGGCAGTGAGCCAGAGCTAAGCAGCTCCAGGCAGCCATAGCTTTCCATTTGTTTGTGCCACATCCTATCCCACACGTATCTATGACATGAAGCACTCAGAGATGGATTTCACCCTATAAAAATGACTTCCTGCCCACCGCGACATCCCTGATCGCTGCCTAAACCCCTCCCTGCCATGCCTGGCAGCAAAGGATACAGACAGGATTGGCATGAGGCCACCCTCAGCATTAATATCCTCCCCCAATACCTCCTGCCTATTTTTAGCCTAAGCCACGCTGCAATCTGCCAGTTCATAAATCAGCACTGCAGACTTTTACAAAGTTTAACGTGAGCCCAATGACCCAGCACAACGGCCCTCCCCGAATAAACTCTGCCAGGGGGATCTTGGGCATCTCTCTGCAGAGCAATAGTGGAGCAGAGAATTCCCCTTTTATAAAACCACCCATACAGCAGCAGCATCCTGTGCACCTCAAAAGAAATGCCCTGACCCCCAGCTGGTGAGGCAGAAAACAAGAAACACGCTGGTTACATTCCCTGTTACAGGCTGGGCTTCTCCAGGGGAAGATGCTGAAAGCCAGCACGTGGTGGGGAAGTGTCACACACAGAGCTCTGCCAGCTCTCCTCAGCCCTGGTGTGATGCTCTGTCCCTCCCCTCTCCAGCTTCCCTGCTCTCGGGTACTCCACCTTGACTCACATTTTTTAGAAAGGGGCTTATTTTTCCTTCAAGGGACCATACAGCCGGGGAAGAAAAAAAAAAAAAAACAAACCAAACCAAAACGCCAAACCAAAACAAAACCAAACAAAGCAGACACACCTTCAGGGACCAGGACCCTTCTTCTCAACCTGCTCTGCATTAGAGACTTCCCCCAAACCTCCCGCCCTCAATATCCAGTCTACCAGAGCTCTCCCAAGCCAATAAATCTCAAAACCTCAACAAACGGACACGAACGAGCTTTCTTTAGCAAGCCGGCCCCATCCTCATGGCTGTCCCCACCGCACTCCCACAGCCCTTGGTCGGTGCTGATCCCCAGCCTGGAGGCGAGCAGAGCACCCGCGCCGCAGCTCCACACGGCCCAGCCACCATCCCAAGGCTCTGCGCCGCTCCTTCCCTCGCCCTCCGCGGCATCCCCGCCTCCCGAGGCCGCGCCAGGCCCGCCCCTTCCTCCGCGCCGCGCCCGCAGCCGCGATCGGGGATCCGGGAGCGGCTCCGCCATGCCGGTGGGTGCGGGGGGCCCGGGGGCCGCTGCGGGGCCGGGGGACGTGGCGGGCGGCGGGGCAGGGAGGGCGCTGCCCGGGAGCGGCCGAGGGGCTCCCCCGACCCTCGGTGCTCCCGCAGTCCCCGAGGTTCCCCGGGGCTTCTCCAGCCCCCGAGGCTCTCTCAGACCCCCAGGGCTCCTCCAGCCTCTGGGGCTTCTCCAGCCTCTGGGGCTCCCCCAAACCCCCCGACTCTCCCAGTCCTCGAGGCTCCCCCAGTCCCCAGAGTTCTTCCCGTCCTCGATGCTCCCCTAGTTCCCCAGGGCTCCCCCAGCCCTCCAAAGCTTCCCCAGTCCTCCAGGGTCCCCCAGATCCTGCAACTCCCCCAAACCCCAAGGCTCCCTAAGGTCCCCCCAGATCCTGCAGCTCCCCCCAGTCTCCCAGGGCTCCCCCAGTCCCAAACTCCCCCAAAACCCAGGCCATTCCCAACCCCCAGGGTTCAGACACAGAAGGGCAGCGTTGATGGGACTCTCTTTCCTCCCTGCCTGCACACTTCCCCAAAGCACCCAGGGCCTTTGGGAAATAAAACCGAAAACAATGGCAATTCACTGAAAAAAACCCTAATGGGAACCTCCATCCCAAGCTCCTTCCTGGGTGAAAGATCCCAAGAGGGTTTTAGCTTCACGGTGGCAGGGGGCACAGGATGGTTCTGAATAGAAGGAAATATGGGTTGCAGGCAACAAATGCACAATAGTTTTACTTTTCTCTTTAAAGGAAAGTAAAAAGCACGTGCAAGAGAAGGAAATTAGGACCCATCTGGTGCCAAAGGTTGAAGGCAGTGCTTGGTTACAGGCAAAACAGTGTTTGTTGACCCAGCGTTGCTCACAAGTAGTGAAATTATCACTGGGGCCCCAGTGGAGTGGAGGGATGGAAAAACAGCACTAATGGCCCTTAAATTTCTGTTTTGCTTTTATTTTTATTATGTTGGGGACCAGAAGCCTTGTAGATGCAAGAAGAATAGGATGGGGAAGCACTGAAAACATCACAGACTTAAGTCAGGACAGCAAGTAGCTGGAGGCAGGAGATTTGCTTCTCCTTGTGTCCCCTGGACAGGCTGAGCAAATCCAGCAGAGGCCATGGAGATGGCCATTTGTGCTGACTCAATAGCCACACAATCTCCAAAGGCCCCTCAGAATTATGCTGTGGGGGACAGCACAAGGACACTGTAGGGAGAAGTACCAAGAGTTCTCAGTTTTGCTGAGGATCCCTTAGTGGGGTGTGTATGGACCTTTTTGACTTGGGAGGCTTTGAACCTCCCCAAGGAAAAACGCAGGTGTGGAGTGCTCAAGGTGCATTTCCAGCTGTGCTCTCCCTGACCCCTGGACTGCCTCTTTTCTCTCCAGAAACACGAGTTCTTCGTGGACATGACCTGTGAGGGCTGTTCCAATGCAGTCACCCGTGTCCTGCACAGGCTGGGAGGTGAGTCACTGCTGGCTGTGGGACAGCCAGCTCCAGGGCAGCGCCCTGGGGTCCTCCATCCTCAAGGATAATGCTGTGATGAAAGTTGAAAGCTGAAACTTCTCCTTGCTGTGCTCTGAGGCTGCTCCTTAGCTGGTGACAAGTCACTGGTTGTTTGCAGGTCTGTGACCCTTGGAGAAGTGTCAAGGGAGGGAGGAGCTGCCATGGCTGCAGGTGGCTCTGAGTCACCAGGGCCTCACCCTGAGCCCTCTGGGAAGGACACTGGTGGACCCCTGCTCAGGCTGCCAGAGGGAAGGGAGGTGAATGTCCTGCCTGGCCTTGTTTCCAAGGAGGCCTGGGGTGTCTGTGGTGCTTCCCCAGATGTGTCAGCAGCAGTCACAGGGAAGAGCTGCTGAGCAGAGCCTTTGGTGGTTGTCTGTGTAGCCTGTTTTTAATACCACCTGGAAAATTATAAAAATTATAGCCCATGTCTTCTGTTTGCTGGCATTTCCAAGAGAGAAGGATCTGGCCTGCACTCGTCAGTTGTGAGGACCTGCTTCCCTCTGAGGGAGAACAGCTTCCAGCCACCAAGGCAAAGGCCTTGCAACTTCTTCCAGACCCCGTTACCAGGCTGTGACAATTCCATTTTCTCTGTGTGTGGTTGTCAGCACCTCCATCACTCTTCAACAGGCTGGCCAGTATCAGCCTCAGTGATGATGAGGAATAGCTCTCGAAGCTCATACATACCTACAGGTTTTGTGAAAATACATAACTGGATAGAGACTGCATGTCCAGTTCCTCTCACTGGGATGAGAGTGGCCCACCTTTATTAGGCACTGGGAAATCCACATGGTAAAATGTATTTTTATTCCTTTTACTTCCAGCTGGTAGGTGGTACTGCCAGTTTAGGCATCTTGTCCTGAGCCTTTCCTAACCCTATTCACACTAAACCAGAGCACAGACTGAGCTGGATGGAAATTTTAGTGGTTGGTTTGAACTCAGCTTATTCTGGTTCCTACAGGAGTGATTGTGTTGATCCAAGGTGGGGTGAGCAGATTAAAACAGTTGAGAGACTGTGGTACCTGATGTGGAGCTAGAGCAGATTGAACTTCCTTCATACCACTGTTGGCAGGACAGCAGGTTGGTTTTGCTGGCAGCTGGTGGTGTCAGAGTGTGCTGGCAGGAGATAAATGTCCATTTGACTGATGCCCTGGGGAGCACAGATGTGTGAAGGTGATCTTCCCCTGTGCTTACACAATTTGCCTGCTTCTAACTCTGCAAAATGTTTTTCCTCATAGGTGTCAACTTTGATATTGACCTGCCCAACAAGAAGGTGTACATTGACTCAGAGCACAACGTTGACACCCTCTTGGAAACCCTCAAGAAGACTGGAAAGAATGCTTCCTACCTTGGGGAGAAGTCTGCACAGTAGCCTTGCCTGGTGTGAGGAGCTAGGTATATACCAGCTGTACCCAGTGTGGAAGAGAGACATCTGCGCTTTTTCCAGCTCTCCCAGTAAAACAGCATCTTCCTGGAAAGCACAAATTTAAAAAAACCCTGCAGGTCCAGCTTCAGGAAACCCCTCATATCAGAGAAGCAGCTGGAGCACACACAGGGACTCCTTAGCTGTTCTGCACAGCCTGTGATGCCAGCCTGGCTGTAGTGGAGAGGTAGAACACAGCCTCTGTGCCATCCCAGATGATCCCACAGTTTGCCAGAGCATATTGTGCATAAAAACAAATCCCAAACACACTTAACAGCTGGCCAGAGAGAGTGGTGGGAGGGTGATAGGACACAAAGAGCCCTTTGGGTGTGAGATGCTGTGGGTTGGCTCTTAGCACAAGGACCTCCAAAGGCTGATTCTCCTGATAAGGCTTTTAATCCTCCACCACACTTAAGGATGGAAAAACAGCAGCTCCCTGCTACTCTTCTGTAAAATGGTTTTCAGAATAGCTCCCAGTACACACATTCCCTGGCCAACTGTCTACTCCAGTGACAAGCTGATGGTTGCAGCCTGTCAATTTTCCCAGAATTCCAGCATTATGAAGACATGTACAAAACTCTGTTGACTGTAAAATATATTGGCAGACAAGGTTCAATTTCAGTGAAAAGAATAAAGTGGGAGAGGGCTGCCCACTCACTGCATGTATCGTTCTTTAGTGTGCAAAATTATTACATGGCATCTCCTAAGAATTTGTTTCTGTCAGTGCAGCTTTCTGATCCAGTGACATTTTTTTTAATGGTCTAGTTGGATCATCACAAATGCCCAGCACAGATGCACTGAAATCAGTTCATGCTGATTTAATTCCCAGTCAGTAAATTAAATCAGGGATTTATACCAGCAGGAATTAAATTGATACAAGAAAGAGCTGAGCTGATAGTGATGTGTGTGCAACGGATCTGCATTGCTTAATAGGCTGACAACAGATTTAAAATCTGCAGTTTGTATCATTTAAGCAAGCTCCCTGTGCTTCTTAGAAATTGTTTAAAATCATAGCTGTAATCAAATAACAACCCCACTTAACAGAGGGAGGCTGTTCTGAATTGATGAGTGCCTCAAATAGTTTTCAGTGTATTTCAGTTTCCTAGTATTGACTGCAAGGGCTGTTGCAGCTTGCAGGGACTTGTGGACTATGTGTCTGCAGAATTTAACTATTACAGCAAAGTCAGTCTCAAATAAGGGGGGTGTGTCTCTTTTCCTGGCCCAGTTTTCTCATTTCTTTCCTTATATGACATCAAGGCAGCTGCTAAGTCAGTTCAGCTGGCCAGCGTGGCAGAACATTTCTCTGGATGCCTTTGTTTTCCTGTTGCATTTTAACTGAAGCTCTTTTACTTATCCAAGGATCTTAAGACCCAAAACAAAGGAGAGCAGGGGGCTGGACTGCCCTTGCAAGATCACTTCAGTAGTCAGGCTAAAAATCCACTCAATTTAAATTTTGCACACCACATAGGGAATGCTTTTAGGGGCCCATCTGTAAAAGGAGGGAGGGAAGTTGCAAATCCTTGGCTCTGCTGGATGATTTCCTTTGGCCCTCTTCCTGCTTGACCGGCAGAGGGCATCTCTGTATAACATTATTTCCTCTGAGCCTTGCTGTTCTTTCCCCTTCATTTATTCATTTATTTATTTATGTGTTTATTTTGCAGGAACTCAATCATGACTTCAGCAAAAAGATGCCTTAACTGTCTGCATGTGTCCCAGCTTGCTGTGTCATTTGACCTTTGCCAGATGTCAGAAAGCAGAGAGGGCTGGCAGGAGGAGACAGCTGGGCCTTGTGCTCCAGAAGTGGCGAGATCTGGGGGAGGAGGTTGTGTGGTGTTTCTAGTCCCACAGTAAATCAAGGCACTGCTTTTAACTTTCAGTGTGTGTCTGTGTGTCCTGTGTGTCTTTGTACTGCTTTGAGTGGTTTTCTGTGAAAGAGGCAGCTTTTAGGGATGGAAAACTCCCCTTTCCATGCAAGACAGGTCTCCCAGGAAATTGCAGCTATTCCTTAGAAGCTGACTGCAACCCCTGCCTGAGGGACACATCTCAGGAGAACTATGCTTGAAGGTCACTTAGATTCAGGGAATCTGCATCTTGGAAGTTGTTTTTCCATCACAGAACAAACAAACAGACTTTCCATTTGGGATGCAAGTGCTGGGAGGAAGGGACTTTAGGAGCCCCTGTAAGTCAAGGATAACCCAAGTGTCCTTTTGAGCTCAATGTGGCCTGGAGGCACAAGTGTGCAAAAGAGAATGCCTGGGCTGATGAGAAACACAGAAGGCATGGAGGAAGGATTAGGGTGTGGGCATATCCAAGGTCTCTTATTTCCTGGCCCAGTGACCAGCCTTCTGGACTGTATTGCTGCTTTCATTTAATTCAGGTTTTCAGCCAGTGAGGGATTGTGTGTGTGTGTCCCAGTCTGCTGTCTGGTTTCACATGGGGGATGTCTCCCACACCTGCCAGTGACACAAGGCTTGTTCTACAGAAAGGAAAAGCAACTGAAGTTTGGAGGAAAAGGTTACTCTGCATTTCAGAGATTTTTTTGCTTCTAATTTAGATTAATTTTGACGTAATTGCAATTTATTCTTTCTTAGAGTAGTTTACTGTTCAAAGTCCTTCTTTACCTTTGATCCAAGCATAATTAATTGCTGTAGATGGACTTGCAGGGGGCTGGAGAGGCACTTCAAGGAATGTGTTACAGACATTTTTTATTACTGTTTAAATTAAGAGAAGCTAAAGGCTACAAGTGTAACATCATTGCTTTATTTTCTTGCCTTAAAGTCTCTAGTTTGGCAGGAAGTTTCCAGAGCCAAGACCCAGAACCAGGACCTATTTCTGCTTTGTGTCCATGCACTCAGATGCCTGGTGCGACCCCTCCAGGGTCTTGGGGAGTGAGTGAATCCCTTTCCCCAGACTGCCCTTGCTGCCCTGAGCTGCTGTTTGCCAAGCTCAGTTATTATTTATTGCTTTCATCTTCCTCCCAGGCTTGGCCAGTGCCAGTGGCTCAGCTCTGGTGGCTGGGGGAGGATGTGTGCTGGCAGCCTGGCGAGGAGCTGGATGGCACAGTGGCCTTGGGGCCACAATCCTGGTGGCACTCACTGTCTGCCAGGCTGGCAGAGGGCAGGGGCAGTGTGGTGCCCACACAGGACACTTCCCTCTCCATCTTGCTGAAACCAGGCTGCTCATCCTTGGTGTACGGGGAGCAGCTTATGCTGCCCACGCTGCCCTGGCTGCTCTGCTCTCTCCTTGCTCTGCTTTGGGTAAAGCCTGTTATCTCTGAGGCAGACAAGGAAAGGTTTCTACCCACAGCCAGCCAGCAGGCTCATGCACATACCTGAAGCTCCAGCACCCATCTGCAGGGCTGCAATCTCCCAGCTCTCCCCTCCATTGTGCAGTGTGGGCAGAGGCCAGACTCTGCTTTAAGCTCTGGCCTGTTGAGTAATGACATCCTGTGACAGTCCTCACTTTGTGGTGTGGGCTGCATTTAGGCTGGGTACAGCTGGGATGGTTTGAGTTTGAATAGAGCTGCAGGCCTGCAGCGTGGCTGCCTGAAAGGTTTATGGCAAAGCTTTGGGAGAAAAAACAACTTCATAGACTAAAAGAATAAGAGAGTCACCAGCTAAGCAGAGTTTTCTTGTTCCACCCCTGCCCAACTGCAACATCATCTTTTATCATGTTAGCCTGAACTTGACTGCATCTCATGGAGGGGGACCCTGACAAGCCCACGTGGATAACATCACCACAGTATTTTCCACAGGAAACAATATGCCAGACACTGAGGCTGTGAGGCTGTTTTCAGACAAGGAAATGCTCAGTTTGCAATGCAAACAGGAAAGGGTGGCACTTGGAAAAGGAGCTTTCCTATACCACAGACACCCAGACTGTGCAGGACATCCCAGTGGCCTGCTGGAAGAGTGATGTGTCAGCAGGATGAGCAGCTGGTCAGGTCCATGGTTCATTGCCATCCATGAATGTGGCATCCCAGCTGCAGGGAGACTTCACTTTTGTCTCTTTTTTTGTTAAATTTTTTCACTTCTGGTTTCTTCAGAGGGGTCTCAGCCCAGCTCCAGCTGAACTGTGAGAATCCACAAATTGCCTGTAGCTGCAGCACCAGTAAAAACTGGGCAAACCCTGAGGGACTGGCTTTAAAAGTTCTTTTGTTTCCCCTGCCTCAAAATGATCTTTCCCCCTGACCCCCCTCCACAGTGTTTCCAGCAGACAGCATTTGCTTTTCTCACCCATCTCTGTGTGTTTGCTGCATTGCTGCTGTGCTTGTGGGTGTCATTTTTCACCCAGTGTTACCTTCCCCCACATTTTAAACAAGAATCTAATTTAGGTGGAAAAGTCTACAGCCTCCAAAGCCCAGTCCTTTATCCACAAAAGAAAAGCCGTGGTTATCCCAGGGCTGCCTTAAGCACCACTGGCTTTTGGGCACTTTCTAATTACCTGATGACAGGCAGGGGTTGATTTTAGCCAAAGCAGCAGCTGTGCTCAGTCGAACCACCCAGTAAATGAGAGAATTTCTAAAATAGCACCACGGGGCTGCAGAAAGCAAGCAAAGGACAGGAGATCCCCCTCAGTGCCTGCAAATGGTGATTCCTGGTGGCTTGGAGATCTAAATTGCTGTGAAATTTCAGGGTGGGAAAGAAGGGTTCAGTTTGCAACAATCTCAGGAATTTCACAGGCGTGGCTGTCTGGGTGTTAAGACACACGTGTTACATGGTTCCATGGGGGATTTATTAACAAAAGATGGGGATTTTCTAGTTTTACTGTGCTTTTAAATGTTTGCTGTGAGAAACAGCCCAGCCCAGGCTTCCACCTTCGCTTGCCTGCCTGTCCCCAGCCCAGCGGCAGAGCTGGGGGTGATGAGCACCATGAGTGATGGGCTGGTGGCAGGATCATACCCCCACACTTTTGGGGTCAACATCAGCAACACTGCCCTGAGCAGCTGCTCTTTGAGTTAAGGCTGTGCAGCTGGACCTGGGGGCTGCCCTGGGCTGGGTGTTCAAAGTCAAGAGCATCACCTGAAGTGGTCAAACATCTCTGCAAATGATGTGTCCCTCAGGAGGACTCCAAACTGGCTGGATAAAGCTTGGTGGTCTCTCTGAGCTAAATGTGCTGGTCTCGAATCTTTTCAATAAGGTTTGCAAAGACCCAATCTGCCTCCGCTGGGCTGAGGCCTCTCTGTGCTGGGTGATTTGCAGAACTGTCCCCATGCAGCACTGACACACACAGCAACATCAAAGGCCTGGCTGGTTCCCAGCTCCCCTGTTGATACATGCAGATTCCCTGAGTGATTATCACAGGCAGCTTTCCACATTGCAGCTTCCAAAGCAGCAAAACACACAGGGACCTGACAGACTCCCCCTCCAAAACAGGAAAACACACAGGGTTCTGACAGACTCCCCCTCCAAGACTGTGGCAGCATAAATAGAAAAAAAAAACCACCCAACAAATCAAACAAACAAAAAACAGACTTAATTAAGGACTTCAAGAGCAGGAAATGTGCACACGTGTGCTTGCCAGAGCACAAATATTTTCTTTTGGAGCTGCTTTCTCCAAGGGTTCAGTAAGGTGATGGAGGCTGGGTTACAGAGCAAGGGTAGCAAACAGTTCCCAGCCCCTCCGGAAGGCAGCGGCCACAGGGCACTGCTGTTCTGCATCCTTCCCCATGCTCCAGCCTTGGCTTTGGGCTCCCACAGTATATACTGAAGCTATTCAACCATTTGGCTAAAAGCAGATGGGGAGGGAGAGAAAACAAAGTCAAACGAGAGGGAGAAAGGCAGCTTTTGTGCAGCCTCTGTTTGCAAAAGACAGCCCAAGCCCCTTTTGGACTAAGGTTTAATTTATTGGGCTCTGGAGAGCCGAGGTTCACAGCCCCACAGCTGCTGCAGGCAGTGGCACATTGGGGCAGAGGCAGGGAAGGGGTAGGAGCCAGCTCTGATAAGTGAGCAGCTCCCTCAGAGGGGCCGTGGGATGCACAGGACACGATGTGAGGGCCCTGGCTGCTCTGGGGGCAGCAGATCTGCCCTCTGACTCTTCTGCTACAAGGGCCTGTCCAGGTGCCTGAAGGGATGAGGGAAACTGCTCTGCATAGACAGGAGCCTTCAGCCTGGCCCTTCCTGCTATTGTCCTTCTGCTCATCGTGTCTGTTCCTGAGCACCTCCCAAAGCACTGCTGGGTGCTGCAGAGCTGCCTTCAGTTCCTCTTCACCACTCCACACTAGTGGGTTGCTGTCACTGGGGCAAGACGCAGCCAGAAGAGAGATCTTGCAGCATTTCAGACTTTTCCACAATTCCCAGCTGGCATGGAATTCCCAGGGCAGGACCATCTCTCTCAGCCCATCTGCGACCTGCTCACCTATTTTCAACAGATGGGTGAGAAAATGTTAAAACAACAAACCCAACTCATCCCCTTGTAAATGAAAGGAGATGCTTGAATGGAGCAGGAATCCACTGTGTGCAAGTACCCTCCTGTTCCATCTCAGAGGGAGCAATTTCCCCCCCTCTGAAGCTCCTGCTGGGCTGTGGGCAGAGCTTGGCCCGCAGAAGCCAATGTCAGCAGGGTGCACAATGCCTGGCAATGACAACAGGGGCCTCGAGCTTAATCTGTTGTGCACAGCTTCAAAAAACCCCATCCCACACAGCTATTGTCAGGGTGATCCCATGGATTGCATCATCAGTCTGCTTGGGACACAGGGCGGTCTCCAGGGCCCAGGGTGGGGGTGCCTGGGGAGCAGCTCTGGTGTCCCTGGGGCTGTCCCAGGGTCTGTGGACCAGCCACAGTGCAGGCTTGTGCTGTGCTGCTCTACAGATAGAGCCTAAGGTCCTTTGGCTTTTCCCTTGCCTTTGTCAGCTGGTTATTATTATTTTATTATTA